ACATTCAAACACTAATGATTTGAAATGTAAGTATTATGTTCCTTTGTTTATTTTATGCATGCTAGTATGTTGCTAGTCATAATATTTTGTATGATTAAAAAATTAGGCTAATATATGTGTTTGCAGGTATGTAAATATTTATTTTTAGTCAAAGATTGATATTATAGTTTTTAGGCATGTTGAATTTTTACAGAGATTATTAGAATACCATTTTGTAGTAAAATAAACTAATTTAGATGAAGTGCATTCCCAAAACAGTATAATTTTCTTTCTATCCGTAACAATAGTTGTAACAATCAATTTGGGAATGCAAACAAAGTTAGTAGACCTCAAACTAATGAATATTCTCTCTTCTTTCTCCTTCCCAAAGGTACCGTTTGCCCCGTCTGGCTTCAAGGTTCGCTACCTCAAGGTGTTTGAGTCGAAGCTCAACTATTCTGACCATGATGTAATCAAATGGGTGCGCTGCATCGGACGGTCGGGACTCTACGAGACCAGATGCTAATGCCATGTAGCTTGGTTTATGTCGAGATCAGTAGTTCATGGTACTCTGCAGCATTGCTGTTATATATATATATATTTTTTTTATTTTATTTTTATTTTATTTAGTATTTTTAAAAATTATTATTTATTATTATTATTATTATTTTTATGAGATAGGTATTTGGCTGGCGAGCTATTCCATTTATTTGACCATATTTAAATGTTATGATTCACCTATATTTCTTTTTCTTGCTTTAGAGGGACAGAACAAAGTAATTTGCCACTAGTGTCTAATTACATAGTTTCACAAGTTAATTTGTTATAAAGCATTGGAAATTTCTTTCATTGGTAAATTAGTGGTCACATGTATTCTTTCTAGTAGTCGTAATTTTTTTATTTTGGCAGGTAGCATATCAAAGTCAATGATAGATCAGAAGATCATATCCAGAATGAAAGTCGTCATTTACTTTGTTTTTTATTATTTTCCGAAGTTGTTAGCCAAGTTTAAACCGACGTAAGATGTGTTCATCGAGAACAATAAGAAGATAGGATTAGAGGTTGTTGTTATTAGTAGTTGTTCATTAATTGCATGTGTAAATATATATAATATAGATTTATTTAGTCATTTAATTTTTATTTGAAAACTATAGGTTCATTTATCAGTTATGATACCAGTGTAGAATTAGCCAGTGAAGTTGATAACTATGGACATTCCCCCCACTTTGTCTAGCAGTTTTTTGTTTTGTTTTGTCTTTTTCCTTCAGTATTGTCATGTATCTCCGTCATCATATTGTGGAGGATGTCACATCCACAGGTGTTCCATGTTTATATGGTAAGAAAACGATAGGTGTGAGAAAGATGGTGGATTTTGCTAAATGACTTTGAAAAAGTGTTCTGTCAAAAATAATTGAGAAGTCTGTTGTTATGTTTGTCTGTTTTTGTTGTTGCTTACAGTAGACTGTTTGGAAAATGAACATTTTTATCATATATATTTTTTTTATTTAAAGGATTATATTAATGTTAAATGATTTGGAGGAGAAAAATATTTGATCAACATCTCAAAAGTTTTACCTTGATTTTACATGGCTTGGTTACTCCCAAGATTGTTTACATAAAATCTCTTATTGCATGTGTTTTGATTTATATTAATTGCTTTCTAACAGTGGGCAAAAGAAATTTACTTTCCAATCCTTCTAATTGGGCTTTAAGGCATCTTCTCCTTAACATTAGATATTTTTTATTTATTTATTAATTTTCTTTCGTTTGTTTTTGCTTTGGCATGGTAAGACATAGCTTTGGTGTAATGTGACTAAAAAATGAGCAGTGGAAGTTTGGCTGATACCTTTTAACAGGTAACCTCTTCTCTCTGTCGGCCAGGCAGTTTTATCAATTCTTAATTATTATTATTATTATTATTACTACTACTATTATTTTAATTTCATTAGTTTGAATATGAATAAACAAAAGAGTAGATCCTTAGAAAAATGAAATACAAAAGACTAGAACCTTTTCTAAATGCATTTGTAAGATTCATCATACAAAACGGTTATATATATCATTATTTGACTTAGTGCCCATGAATCAGAATTCAGGGTAATTATACATTACTTGTCACATGATAATTCCAATAGTTGCAGTTTATTATGAGATTTTTCTCCTCTGATAAGACAAAAGAAAAAAGTTGCATGGTTCTTGCCTGGTCAGCATGAATTCTGCCAAACTGTCGAGTCCCGGCTGGCCGATGTTGTGCGCCCAGGTGATGACGTCATGGTCTATTTAAGTTTCAGGATGGCAGTGATTTTATTATCATTATTATAATTATTACTGCATTTTCCAAAATTGCCCCATCACCTTCCAAGTGTATTGATCCATCTCTTCTCTTACGTGTGGGTTGGCATAACCTGGCTCGTGACCCCCCTTTTCCCACTACCATCACCACCATGTTTTGATGGACCTCAGCCTTGATTTACAACCGCTGGTCATGTAGTTTTAGAGGAACAAAAGTACTCCTCCATGTCTTGTGCCTTTTATTATGATCCTTAATGTGGTGATGTAAAAGTCTGTGGGTGTGATGAATGTGGAAATTTGTTATGCCATAGGTTTGGAGGGAAGGTTTCCATGGAATAAAGACTATTGATTGTTGTAGAAGTGTGATGTGAATCATTTAACAACAACAACAAAAAGTTTGTATCCAAGGACAAAAATGTTTAGGATGTTTTGTAAACTTGACAAAATTATGGTATTTATGATATTGCCAAAATTTATAACTAAATTTTTTTATAAAGTGTATTGCATTTGCTGTGAAAACTTTTGAATCATTTGATTATTTGTCAATATTTTGGTCTTGGTTCAGTCTATGTCAGTAATAGATAATAGTAATATGATGAGATTTAAAAATAAAACCTACTTATTTTGTATATAACAAGATGTTCCTTTTCAATTAGAATGAAGCACTACTAGTTTTATGACGAACAAGTAGAATCAAGTGTGCTGTAATCTTAACAATTATTTCTGAAAATAAGAAATCCAATGGTAAGTGAACAGCTGAATTACCTTTTCAGTTTTCCACAACTCTTAACTTGTATTTTTAGCAGATGATGGATCACCAAGATTTTTTTTTTATATTACACAAAGAAGAATGCCAAGACAAGTGTATCACTGACTATATAGTCTTTTCTTTTGAAATTTGGTACAAAAGTGCATTGCAAGTTTTCTTCTATTAAAACTTTGACACTGAACATGTCAAGTAACAATAGGAATGAATGTTCATTAGCCCATAAAATGAGATGGATTATAAAAGAAAAAAATATATATTCTAATTAAATATATTTAAACACTGTTGAGAAATACTTTCCTCTTCAGAGAGTTTTACTAATTTTACTTTCTGAAATGTTTTTCAGATTTTTACCTTATCAAGCAAATGCTACAAAATTATATCCTCTGACTGGTGTGGCTTTCTCTTTCTTACTAATATTAATACTAATAGGTAATAGGCAATTAGGCAAACAGGTAGACTTGGTGTTTGCTTTGCATGGGAAATTCTTAGTGGAGAGACTTGCTTTTTGAAATTTAGATCATAACATCTTGAAAGGAGAGGCTGACTGTAGTTCTGCTTTAATGGGTACAGGAAATATATCCATAGCAGTCCAAACTTTCACCTTCTATATATACAGATGTAATATATTATGCCATGAGGAATACAAGGACAGGCAGACCCAACGCAGACAAGAACTCAAATTTACACACCGATATTCACATATGCACATTTATTTATTTGAAAGTCCTCAGCTCTTGAAGTTTGCATACATAAACAAAGCAGCCATGACAGAATGCAACACGACATAATCATCCAATATATTAATTTCAGGAAACGTGTCTTGGCTGTTACCCATATTCCCCCCCCCTTTTGTTTTCTCACTCTTCTACTTTTGATATCTTGGTGTGGTATAACCAAGCACAGTATTTGGACAAAATCAGGAAGTTAATCATTTCTGTGTGAATTATTTAATAGTGTTTATTTAATCCTCTGTAGAAAGGTCATTTTTCTCAGCTGGGACTAGTCATGTCTTTGCTAAATTATTTGAAAATGGTGTGGCTAAAGATTCTGAAATGAAACAGTATTGTGTTCTCAGCCAGTTTTCTTGGAAAAAAAAGAAGACATGGAAAAATGAGTGAGAGCGACCAGTTTCACAAAGCAAGTGATGTAACTGACGCATATTGATGTTACATTGCTAAAAAATTACGTTATATTATTCTAATGGGAATGCAACATTAAAATGTATCAGTTACACCTTTTTTTGTGATGTTTATTTGTTCTCAACCATACTACTTCCACGTTTGTCACAATAAAGTCTGTTGAAAGAATCACATCTTTAATGTTTTCATGAAAATGAATGAAATTGTATTTTATTTTAATACCAAGTAATTGGTATACTGTAGTTACCATCAGTAACTCCTTTCATAATCTGAAAAAACATTTTTCATGTGTTATCGTACAAAGAAATGTTATCAGGAATTACATGAAGAAAATGATACAGTAAAATGAAATGGACTAGAAACATTCTCGGGTGTTGGTGCTGCTGAATGGAATGAATGAATGTATTTTCTAGTTACAACTTTATACATTTTATCATTTTTTTTAACCATAAATAGCCCGGAACAAAGCTTTAGTGCTGAGGCCACAACAGAGTTTAAGTGAAAAACTGTTGATCCAAATTTTCAGAAAATGGCACTAATGCATTATGAAGGTAGAAATAAATTATCTTTATAAAAAGAAAAAATAATAGAGGTAATTATTCCACTCCTCCAGTGTGTTGCAAAAGTATATAAAACACGGGTAAGTGCATATTGATACGTATTGACGTGTTTGATCCTCTCCAGATGTAGAAAAAAACAAAAAAACACTTCTTTTTACATTAATACACTTTGTTCAAAGAGGATGCCATAGTGGTTTCGAAGCATCATGACATGTCAGTTCATGCGGTTCTGTTTTGTTTTACGTGGTATATATTTTATTCGGAATTCTAGTGTTTAAAATTGATAAGAAAACGCGTCCCCCCAATCCCTTGTCCGTTGTTGTTGTAGGGGGGCTTTGGAGAAGAAGACTGGGACCCAATGCAGGGACACCCACTGTCTAGGGTCTCAGCCCTCGCCTCAACTAATTTTGCATGGTCTTTTCCCCACCAGCTTTTGTTTCCGTCTCTTCTCCAACCCCTTCTACTATCTACTTCCTGAAAGGATGAAAGGCTGACATTGTGCCAGTCCTGAACGGCCTGCGGGAACTATGAGCACGGTACTCCCGATTTAATTGTCTAGTCCTTACCTTGAAGTGCATGAGGGTGGACCGTTTATGCCGTTTTATATAAAAGGTTCCCTTCACCGACCTCCCAACATATCAGACATCCTTACAGAATCCCACAACTTCTGCCTTGACAACCTGTTCTTCCTCAGATGCATAAATATCCTTCACTTGATCAAACTCCCTTACCTAAACCACCATAACCTTTTCCCTCATTTTCAACCTTTCAACACTATTCTAGATAGTTGACACATACCAACTATCACCTGACATCCCCTGTACTATACCTTCCTAAAGTGCATATGACCTTAGAGGTCTAGCACATTTATTTTTAACCATTAACCATTATAATCAAGGTTCCCCATGACCAGTAATGAAGACGTAATCCCCTTATTAGGGGCAATGAGACTTGCCCCTTCATCAAATAGCCCCACCCCAGGCTCTCCTTTGACCACGACTCCGAACACTGAAACTAATACCCACTCCTCAATGCCTACTAGTGCATTACCCACCCAAGCAGAGAATCAATCTCCAGAAGACATTCCTACCCACCCAACATCCTCAAATTCATCAACTCTACCCCCGCAACCTTCATCACGCACCCAATCCTCCTTATTACTACCTTACAACCTTATTTTCCATCATTCCGTAATACTCCCTCTTCCACACGTCCCCGACTATCCACCACCACCAACCCTACAGATATCTTAAATACTCTGTTTGGCCCAGCCAAATGGGACCGATTTTTCGTGATCCCTTCAACAGCTCCTTACTCAGGCAACACTCTTCTCTTTCAACAATGCCTCCAAAAACAAGTAGGCAGAGTCCCTTTCTATACCAGACGCGATCGCTCCCGTCTTGTAACAGTCAGATCAGAAACTGAATATATAGCACTATCAAATTTAACTGATCATTCTGGCAACCCCATTCCTGCAGAACCTCATCCAACCCTTAATACCTGTACCGGAACTCTCTCTCCCCAGCAAACTGCCCAGTCGATACCAAAGATTGGTCAGACTGTGGAGAAGACTTATTAGGATGCCTCAAAGACCAAGATGTGAAATCAGTACATTGCTACACCATTCCTCCTAAAGGTCAACGAAAGAATCCGAAATTGCCAAAATTACCTTCCGTACACATGACCTTCCCTTACGTATCTACATCGGTGGACAATCCTTCCCTGTTCGACCATACCAACCCCCTCCCCGTCAATGTCAAAACTGTTGGCGTTTTGGACACCTGCCAAACATTGCCGTTCCACAGACCGATGCCCCATATGTGCCCAACCTGGTCATACCGATCAAACTGCTCAGCACAAACACGAACATGTGCTAACTGCGGCGACCTCCATAATGTATTTTATAGAGGCTGTCCCATTTACAAGTTGGAATCTGATGTAGCAACTCTCAGATACAAAAATGGTCAGACAGGAAGCACGTCGACAAGATTTCTCTCATACTCCATACTCTAGTAATATCGTTCGCTCAGCCCCTCCCCCTCCACCCCAAGATGTCCCCATTTCCACTTCTACATTCTATCCCTCAGACCAATTCCTTTGCCACTCTAAACCCCAGACACCCAAATTTCAACCACAGCTCCAATCTCAACTACAGCCCCAACCACTTCTACATTCTACCCCCAGACCAATTCTTTTACCACTCTAAATCCAGACACCCAAAATCTCAACCACAGCTCCAATCTCAACTACAGCCCCAACACCACCCCCCTCTCCTCCCCACTACCCGCAGTAGACAGACTAAACGTTCTAACCCTTCTTCCCCTACAGCACAATCACCTCCACCTACCTTTACCTTTATTCCTGAGAACCAATCTCCTCTTCCCCCCCTCATAAGAAAACCTTTAACCCACAAAAAAAACAACTCCACTGCAGAAAGAATTACCTTCCACCAAACTCTCCAACCAATTCCACTGCAGAAACAATGGATGACATCCAAAGTTATATGCTTAAGACACAAGATCCCATAACTCATGCTCCTTCCACACTTGAAGTGGTTGCCGATATTCATACCCCTCCTACTAATATTCCCCCTACTCCCTCTCAACACAACCTAACCCCCTCAATCCGTCCACCACCGATATCCATCCTCCTGATATCCATCTCCTTCCTCCTACTCCCTCTCAACACAACCTAACCCCCTCAATTCCGTCCACCACCGATATCCATCTTCCTGATATCCATCCCCCTCTTACACACAACA